CTGGGGCCTGGCCGGGGGGGATCGCCCCGCTCCGGTCAAGAAACGGAGGGGAAAATCCTCTTCGGTAACACCGGGCCCCTTGTGTCCTGGCGTGGGGGCTCACCGGGACGAGCAGAACAGAAGTTTTCGGTGTCATCGCAGCTCGTTAACAGGTGCCGTGTTTTCCTAAACTGATGGCTGAATTTTCACTCGCAGATGAAGATGATGTGCACAAGTGCGGCCGCTGCCAGGCAGAGTTCACCTCCTTGGAGGAATTCGTGCAACACAAACTGCAGAAGGTCTGCCAGCGAGCTCCAGAAGCGCTGGCTGCTGCATCGGCGAAGTTTTCGGTGTCATCGCAGCTCGTTAACAGGTGCCGTGTTTTCCTAAACTGATGGCTGAATTTTCACTCGCAGATGAAGATGATGTGCACAAGTGCGGCCGCTGCCAGGCAGAGTTCACCTCCTTGGAGGAATTCGTGCAACACAAACTGCAGAAGGTCTGCCAGCGAGCTCCAGAAGCGCTGGCTGCTGCATCGGCGGCTCTGCTCAGCCCAGAAGCACAAAAGGTGACAGCAGGCTTCTCCTCGAGCCGGGGCTGAAAATAATTAGGATGCAATGGTCTGCTGGGTTGGAGGGGAGAGAACAGAAGACGATGATGTTAACGGTAACGAATCCTTCCTGCTAAAACGTTGTCTGTTACAGCAGGCGGTTCCTTCCGTGGAGGAGTCCATAACTGTTGCTCATATAGTTGTGGAAGCATCTTCGATAGCAGAGGAAATCGGCAGTGCCTCGGCTATAGTAGGTGAGCTCGAGATGCTTGCGTGTACAGCCCCCCTGGGCTGGGAGTGGGTGACTCGTCCTGATCCTCTTCTGTTTGATTTGTGTGCAGCTGGGGCCGTGAACTGGGTGTTGGTGAGCACTGGGATGTGGGACTGAGTGTTGCCTCAGAGGTGGGAGAGAGGCATCCCTAGGCCAGCTTTGCAATTCTTTCTACAAATTAGATTTAAAACTTCACTGCAGAAGCACCCGTTTTGATATTTATACAGTGGTGATGAGAACTTTGCAAAGATCTGTGTTCTACGTGTAAAATAACTGTTTCTCCTTCCCACTGCGTGAAGTGGCGAAGCAGGGAATTGCTCTGGTGGTGTAAAGCTTTCTTCTGCACAGAACATCACTGTCACTGTCTCGGTATCCGTTTCCCAGGCAGTGGGCACATCAGAGAAGTCATTGTTGGAGAAGACCACGTTTTTGAAAACCCAAATGGCCACGTTGATGGGGAGGTCACTGAGGAGCAAGGGAACGCTGACGATCAGGAGCAGGATGTTTCCACTGAACTGATAAAGTTTAAGCTGCTGGTTAACAAAGAAGGGCGCTATGTGTGTGAATTGTGCCAGAAGACGTTTAAAACGGTAAGTCCCACTGTGTTTGGGTTATTTAGGCCAGCTGTTCACTAGGATATCTGAAGACTTGGTAACAACGTGCCCCTCTACTGCATGCTGCGCTTTCACAGAATCCCAGGATGTGAGGAGCTGGAAGGGCCCTGGAAAGCTCCCCCAGTGCAACCCCTGCCACAGCAGGATCACCAGAGCAGTCACACAGGAACACGGCCGGGGCTTTGGGTGTCTCCACACAAGGAGACTCCACAACCTCTCTGGGCAGCCTGGGCCATGCTCCAGAACCCTCACACTGACAAACTTTGGCCTCATCTTCAGCTGGAACCTCCTGTGCTCCAGCTTGGGACCATTGCCCCTTGTCCTGGCATTGGCCATCCCAGAGCAGAGCCTGGCTCCTTCCTCCTGACACTGCCCTTTACATACTTAAAAACGTATAAACATTAATTAATTTCAAAAGGGAAGCTCTGCTTTCAGAAGGGGCAGGGTTGTTCTTTACAGCTGAAACGTTCCAAATGGTGGCGGATTTTACATCTTGTAAAATGCAATTCCTTCCGTAGGCCAGCATCCTCAAGGCTCACATGATCACTCACAGCAGCAGAAAGGACTATGAATGCAAACTCTGTGGCACGTCCTTCAGGACAAAAGGCTCTCTGATTCGACACCATCGCCGGCACACTGGTAAGAGGCTTCTGCAGCTGCGGCTGAGCGCACTGTGCATGGTTGTCCAGCTTAGAAATTGCAGTGGAATTTGCTGCTGCTTTCCATCTGCTGCCGAGACCGTGGAGCCTCCCGGTGTTCGGAGTGCTGGAGGCAACACGAGGCTGTGGGATGAGCACGCTGGAGGAAGCTGAAAGCGTTCTTGTGTCACGCAGAGCTAATGCCACCCATGGTTAATTTAATACAGTTGCTTTGATTCTTGTCGTTTCCAGATGAAAGACCTTACAAATGCAAGAAATGTGGGAAAAGCTTCCGGGAATCGGGAGCTCTGACTCGGCACCTGAAATCCCTGACACCTTGCACCGAAAAGATCCGTTTCAGCGTGAACAAAGAAATCGTGGTCAATAAGGACGATCTGCCAGCAGGTCAGTGATGCTGCCAGTGTCAGCCTTGTGTCTGCTAAAACCGAGCGTGCTCCTGGTACTGGAGCTGTCAATTCTTTCTCAGTGATGAAGAAAATATTTCAGTTTCTATCTTTTATACAGGAAGAAGTAATTTATAGAGCTCAGTTACTAACCTGAAGCACACGTAGTCAGGTGTTGGCTGCGAAGCCTGTTTGATAATCTGGTACAAAGATGGCTTGAGCAGGCACCTCGTATTCCAGGACACATTTTGTGCAGGTCAATGGGGGGTGGCAGCACACCAAGTGACTGGTAATGTTTTCCTTGAAGGATCCTGCAGTTCAAACGCAGACACCGTTTCCTCAGTAGCGAGCGAATCCATCGACACCTCGCCCGTCATTCACCTCGTGACAGACGCAAAAGGCAACGTTCTCCACGAAGTCCACGTCCAAATGCAGGAACTCCCTGTGGTAGATGCGAAATCCCTGGACCAAGACGTGAGTGTCATTGCTCTTCAATACCCTTGGTGTGTTTTATGCAGAGAAGTATTTCACCTCATAAACGACATTTCCTTAAGTGCTGGGAATAAATCCGTGTGGTGGAAGGAAGCTGTTAATTAGCTGCTTTTTCATCAAGAACACAGAAGGGAATCTGCTCTGACCCTGTCTGGCCATCTGCTGCTGGGCTTAGCAGCGTGTGCGTAGCACATGGGGGGAGGTGTAGGGTTCACCACCACGTACAGAAGGTGAGGAGAGGGTTTTTGGTGACCGTTCCCTGCTGTGAGACCCTGCAGCAGGAGCACAGGCTCATCATCCCTAGAGCACAGCTTCACCTCAACTTCCTCCCCAGTCCAAGGTCATTCCTGTTGATCTGTCGGCCCTGACTCGCAGCATCAGACACCCTAGAAAGATCGACCGTTGTAGCAGAGCTGCTGTAAAAAAAAGGGCTGTGTGTTTATTCCTTCAGCAGTCGCATCCCGAGGAGCTGCCGTGCGAGGGGGAAGTGAACAGTGAGAACCTGCTGAGGCAGGCCATGAGGAATTCAGGTATCGTGATAGAGAGAGTCGCCGTGGAGGAAATGCAAAAGCCAGAGGAACCAGCCGTGGCTGCTGCAGAGGAACTAGAAAACCAAGTGGTGGAAGCAGAAGAGGAGCCCTGTGGGGAACAGTGTGTTGAAGTAGAACAAGCGGAGTCTGTATGTTTGTATTCCACAAATTGATTGACTTTTTAATTGTCCCTTGCCTGCAGTTGGCTGTGGACAGCACTGTCAGCCTCGCCACCCTGCACATTACCCTCAGTGCATCTCTCCCTGTGCCTGCGTCTTTCAGTTCTCATAGTTACGTTTCTAATGCATGCTTTAAGTGTAGTGTTTGTATGCATGCAGGCTTTCTTCCTGTCAACAGCATAGAGCTCTTTCTTGTCAAAGCTTGAGTGTTTAACTGGGAGTTTGGATCGCAACGCTTACTGTACAAACTGTACAAAAATACTCCTGTTGTACCATTTTCTTTCCAACAGACAGATGCAGAAAGAACGAATGGGTACAAAAGTTACGTTTGCCCTCACTGTAACGAAGCCTTCAGTGACGCTACGTTCCTCGAAACACACGTGAAAGGCCATTTAGGTAAAGGTCTATGCTTATGCTGTTGTCTAAAATGCACCAGGCCTCACTGTGATCTTACAGCACAGCTTGCTTTGTTTCAGATTCCTGCCTTTACACGGCCGCTAGCTGTGCTGAATCGATTAATAATTAACACAGAGATACGGAAAGGCTGAGCTCTAGAACAGAGGATAAAAGAAACACTTTTAAAAAAGGAAAAGTTTCCATGGTTCAGGGCCTGCACTGCATCCTTGAAAGCAGAACTTTGTGATGAAGCCACTAGCGAGGCAGAACAGGGCTGGGACTGCTGCTTGGAAGGCACCAAAGGCCACAAGAGCAACATTTGGGCAGAATTCACTTCTGAATGAGACAAAGCCCATACACGCAGTTAAAAATAGAATTTCCCTCCTTCTCTGGGTTAATATTTTGTAAGAATCTTGTTTAGCATGTACTAAATACTTGTTACTGCTGGTTGTCCTGCGTCAACCACGTGTTCTCTCTCTCTCTAGATTACAAGCCTTTTAAGTGCGAGGAGTGTGGCAAAGAGTTCACAAAAGGCTATCTGCTCAAGAAGCACCAAGAAGTGCACGTGAACGAGCGGCGTTTCCGCTGCGGAGAGTGTGGCAAGCTCTACAAGACCATCGCACACGTGAAGGGGCATCGCAGAGTGCATTCTGATGAGCGGCCGTATTCCTGTCCCAAGTGTGGCAAGCGGTACAAGACAAAGGTGAGCCTCCCTCACAGCAGCCTGGCCTTCAGATTTGCCTTGCCAGAGCAAATCTGGGAGAATTTAGGAGCCTTTGCTCCTGAAATACCAAATGCCAGCTCACCTGCCTCTTATAAGAGCAGAGGCTCCAGAAGGAGCTTTTGTTATAGCGGGGAAAAGAGGGACAGTCTTAATAAAACCTTCACATTTGTGAAGTAACTGTTCCTTCATGTGTGGAAAAATTATAGAAAGATAATGCAGCCAAGTCTTTATTGTGTATTCCATAAAAGCCATGTTGGCTTGCACCCTGGAAGCTAAAATACTGCTTGCTGAGTGTGTCATTCCCTTGAGCTGCCCTTCTCCTGCTTCTCTCTCTGTACAGAACGCCCAGCAAGTCCACATCCGTACGCATTTAGAGGAGAAGCCTTACGTGTGTCAGTACTGCAGTCGGGGCTTTCGGGAAAAGGGCTCGCTGGTGCGCCACATCCGCCACCACACCGGGGAAAAGCCTTTCAAGTGTTACAAGTGCGGGCGAGGGTTTGCGGAGCACGGCACTCTCAACAGGCACTTAAAAACCAAAGGTGAGGTGGGGTGGGGTGTTATAAGTTTGGGTTTGGACAAGCTGCTTTTTGGCTGAGTAACGATCTTTTCGAGTGGATCTGACGACCTTCGTCCAAGGCCGTTTGTTTATCTGCATCTCAGCTGCATCAGAAGGAGATGCATTACATTTCCCCCCCAAATACATTATTAAATATTTCTATTGCGATCTCTCTGACCAAAAATGATGGTGAACAAACAGCCTTAAAACAGTTCTAATAGAAAATCTAGATCATCTAAAGAGAACCAAAATGGAATTTGCATTAGGAATCCCACTGTGGAGTGCTGTGGGCTCTCTGCTCCAAACTGGCTCAAGTGGGGAATGCAGACCCTGTGCTGTACAGGAGTGCCCCAGATTGTGAAGGGGTTCTGTTCCAAGGCTCCACACAAAGAGACAGAAAATTAACTGTCTAATTAATTAATTAAATCAATTTTCACTAAGTAATGCCAGAGAAAGCTTGATTTCTGTGTTGGGGAAGAAGGGAGAAGACTGTAAAACTTAAATATGGCACATGCTGTTATGGTTAAACTTGGCAACTTTTATTTTTTTAAATTTGTGCTAATTTGGGGGGTTTATGAAATCCTTCAAAAAGGACCTGCTGCTCCTTTAGCTCCCAAGCACGGATTTTCAAACCTGCTCAGGTAGTGAGACACAGTATTGAGGTTGTAAAGGACAACACAAGTTTACTGGAGGGAAAAAGAAGAGTTTCCTAGGTAGATACTGCAATGTAATGCATAAGCAGAAAAGATACGACTTAAACTGTTCCAAAAGTCTTACTGTATGTTCTTCACATACGGCTTTTGAAATCCCCTGGGGTTTTATGCATCGGAATTTCGTTTTTGGAATGACACTGGACTGCGTTTGGGCGGTGCTGGTGGGCTGAGAGCCTGTTGTCTGACGGCATCCTGTCACAGGGGTCTGTTTGTGCTGTGTTTCCCAGGTATTTGAGATGGTTATGAAAAATAATGGGTTTTATTTATACCATTCAGGTGGCTGCCTCCTTGCTTTGAAAGAGGTGGAAGAAGTGATCGTGTCTGAGGAAAGTCAGTCCGCCGACAACTTAGCTGCGACCGTCATTTCTGAAGATCCTCACACTGTTCTGGTCGAGTTTTCTTCAGTGGTGGCAGACACTCAGGAATACATCATTGAGGTAGGAAGTGGGGCAAACAGCCTTCTCATTCTGAATTTAGCATGGTATTTTGTCGATTTAAAACTGCAGTTGGGCATGTTCCTCCTCTAGGCTTTGGGAAGAAGGTAAAATAGGCTCTAACCAATGCTGCCCCTGCCTGTGCGACCCTAGCAATGAAGTAGCATTAGTCTAGTTCAGAAGGAGAGCACCGGGGGTTTACTCCATCACCTTCCTGCAATCCTGTGTGTAATGTAGGCAGGAAAACGAGGACGCAGGGAAGAGTGGCAGTGGCTCATCAAAAGGCCAAGACCAAGAACTTCTGACCACACCACATTTTTTATCCTCACGAACTTGCTTCTGCTTTCCCTCAGCTCCTACCTACTCTCTTCTCCCATCCCTATTTAGCTTATGTTGTCTGAAATAATCTCTGTTTTTAGCTGGCTGTGGCTGCCAGAAGCAATGAACTACACATTTTCCTTTCTCCCCTTTCACGACAAAGAGCCAGTACTCACCCATGCAGAATAGCACAGTTCAATTATTGAGTCCCTTTAGTGCTGCCATAGTTTTTGCTCTAATAGGAGAAAAATCTGCCAGTTGGCCAAGTCCTGCTGAGAGGGGATGGTCTCTTTCAGTTATTTCTGAGCACTTGCATTACTTTTAAGCAGCTCTCGATAATGGGATTGGGAGGGAATTTCAAGGAGGAGTTGTCCTAAGAGTCGCTACTGCAGCATGGGGGGAACAGAAAGACTTTTGTAAAAGTCTTAAGAGTCTTATATCTTGGTAATAAAAGTTTTTTTGGTAATAATTAAAAAGGGAATCACTGTATTTTGTCTTTCAAGACTGCCACTGAAGACATGGAGACCAGCGAAGCTACTGAAATAATAGAGGGAACAAGACACGAGGTAAAGCAGCCACACGAAGTATTGTTTTGGGGACCTGGTATGATGAAATGAATCACTTTCAGTGCCTGAAAGACACACTAAATAAACCCAACTTCAAATAATTCATTTACATACCTCTAGTTTTGCAGACCTGTCTGTCCAAAAACATAACGCTGGTCATGCTGGGTTTGACCGAGCTCTGTTAACCCCTGATCCTCTCTGTGATGGTGACTTGTGTGGCTTCACACACGAGAGCACAGCTGCTGGCTATGTAGACCTGGACAGTAACACTTCAGCTTGGGGGAATTGAATGCTGGAAATCATGGCTGCTGCAAAGCCAGGCTCTTGATTCGCAGTTTAAACATCTGGGCAGGCGTTGTTAAGATTTTCCTATAAGCAGGAGTCTGACTTTCTGCAGGGAGGACTCTGCTGGTGAAACATCTTCAGCGACACGAGGTGTGACACGTTTAGGAGTCAGCTGTTCTTGAGTGAACAGCTGGAGGGAACTAGAATTAACTGCTGCTGCTTGTACTGCTCATGGAGCACTGCTGATGGTGATGATCTCTCTGCTTCCGACAGCAAAGTACACTGAGAAATAACGTGGCATCTTTTCTCTTCTGTAGGTCGACAGCCACATCATGAAGGTTGTACAACAAATAGTAAATCAAGCAAACTCCGGTCACCAGATCATTGTGCAGAACGTCACCGTGGCAGAAAACTCCGAAGTGACCACAGATGCTGCGGACACCATCACCATCGCGACCCCCGAGAGCCTGACGGAGCAGGTCGCCATGACGCTGGCGTCGGCCATCGGAGAAGGAGCGGTGCTGACTACGGAGGGGAGCATCGAGACGGAGGACGGGACGGTGACGATGGTGGCGTCTGAGGACATTGAGATAATGGAACACGCAGGAGAGTTTGTGATCGCCTCCCAGGAGGGGGAGGTGGAAGTCCAGACTGTGATTGTGTAACCACCACGCAGCTATGGCGGATGTTAATGTAAAACTTGGATTTTTCTCCAGTTTGGGGAGTTTGATCAGTCCTAAGTTTGCCATTGTAATTGTTCAGAGAGCGAGGGAGAGAATGCTTCTGTAGGTGAGTGGCTTAACGAGATGGTACAGCCCTGAGATGGTTTCTGGTTCAAATGGAAAGGACAGTAGTCAAAAACCGCTGCATGGTTACGCTGCGGAAGTGACCAGCGCGCCACTTTGGACAGTCTCAGTGTTTTGTACAGCTGCCTCAAATAAAGGAAGTTCCTTTGCAAAGCCTTTACCTCTGACCACAGGACAGTAGCGTTCTGATGCTTAGATTTAAAAGGATTGAAAGTGGAGCAAGTGTGTAGGGTCTCATAAGAGACTGCTTACTCATAGACACTTAAAACGAACCAAGAAAACCAAACCTAACGAGTTCTGGTGTGCATTCACCACCACTTGAAAACTCTCATGCCTTTAACCTCACTACTCAAGTCCTCCCAAGGCATGGTACTGCAGTATTTTATTTTATATCCTGGACAAGTAAGTAGCCTTATGTACTGGTCTATGAAAGAATGCATCGTTGTACCCTTGCAATGCCAGACAGGCTGCTCTGAGAGCTGCTCTGTTGGGGTGTAAAGCCATATTGTATAGGAATGTGGTTTTTTTTAAACCATATACAGATTTTTAATGTCATACTGTACAGATTCAGCATGTAAATAAATACTTTTTAAAAAATAAAGCTATTTAAATTTATCTTAAAAGTTCTCACTATATTTTTTCCAATTTCTGCTCTGTTACCACTCAAGAATTTCTAGAAAGAGAACAGAGCCACTTAAAATGCTTAAGAAACCCTCACCGCTGGGTGAGCCAAACACGCTGTTCTTCCCAAAACAAGCACAAGCCTCTTACATGAGCCAGTGCATCTGTGCTTTGGACATCTCCCCAGTCAGCCCTGGTTCGAGGGGTTTCAGAAGGCCACCTGCAGAGCTGTAGGTTTATTTCTGTCTTTGGTCAGTGCTCACCTACAAGCAGAAGACCCCGTCACTGCTGTTTCTGAAGCAGTGTGTTCAGGTGCAGGTGGGCAGCCCTAGAAACCCTCAGCAACTGCACCTTCCCCTGCTGCAAAACGCCCAGAATACAAAGACATGGCTAAGAGATGGTTGAGCCCCTCGCTGTGAGGAGATACATCAAACAGTGGAATAAAGATGAGAAATGGATTAAGTCTGTAATCTGCCAGGACCTGTACGGCCAGAGCTCAATATCACATCTTTATACCCTTTTCAGGATGCTGAAATGCTGTCTGGAAGGCACCATTTTCATGACTCTTAAGGCTGAAATGGCATCTTACTTTGAACGTGCTTCAAATAGGTATCAAGAAAGAGACTCAGCAGTAAGGAGGAGAAGTAGCACTTGATGTAGTTAACAGTAATGAGTTAAGCATTTACCAAACAAGGCTACTCACAAAAAGACGAAGCTTCCTCAAAGTTCACAGCAGCTCTTTGTTAAGCTCTTCCCTCACAAGTGCATACACAAAGATTCACCTCAGGAACATGGACCAGAGCTCCCTCTCTGTACCAGAAAATCCACTGCTGGTCCCTCTGACAAGGAAATGAGGGCTAAGCTTAACCTCAGAGATCGCCCCAGGTGAAGTAGCATCTTAAATAGTGCTCTGCTGAGGCACTGCTCATCAGACACTGCTGAAAATAGGAGCTCACAGCTGGGAGTCTCCACGTTCCTGCAGGGAAAATAATGTGAATAGCTGACAAATAACGTGCACGTCTGAAAAGACAACAGGCCACGGTCACAACCGGTACGAGTCGTGTCACAGAGAAACCTGGAAGAACTCTGGGTTTTTGCAGACGGATCAGCTTTATGAAAACAGTTTCCGATTCCTTAACTGAAATACAGTAATACTTTTACAAAAGTTGTTTTGGGCATCAAAGTGCACTGCTGAAATGAAGTCTTACAAAGAGCTTAAAAACGTACACACAAAGAGTAATTTCTTCATGTTTTCTTTTTGCTTTCCAACACTGTAGGAGGCTTAAAGATTTCCTTTAAATTCTTCCAGACTCCTTTAGAATAAACGTTTCTGTAGGCGACTCGGCTGGCACGAGGCTGCGCTGTTAGGTGGGGGGAGCACCCGTATCGCCGGGATTTATACCACTCGTTGGACGTTTGGTTGGTTAAGGCCAAGTACAGCGTGAAGCTGCTGTACGCACCCAGCACGAGCGTGAGGAGAGTAACAAAACCAAGCATGAAGACAATCCTGGGGAAAGTCAAGAAAAGGTGCTGCAAAAAAAGGAAATAATAACTTGGTTAAAAGGTCGGAGCAGTAAATCACAGGGAGGTGTGCGACCGCTGCAGAGCGCCAGCCGAAATGCACAGCCACAGCCCTGTCCCCCAGCCAGCTCGGTGACGCTCCATTCCTGACTGAACCTTGAGTAAAGCGTAGAGATTTCCAGAAATGTATTTCCTTGCAAGCTGTGCTGATAGGCAGGGCTATTTCCTACACCCAGCTGCCTCTGAATGTTTGTCTTTCATACCAGAGTTTTGCTTGTTTGGTTGGTGTTTTGTTTGGGTTCTGTTTGAGTCTGTTGTTTGTTTGTTTGTTTGAAGTTACAAGAGCAATTAACCAGAAAACAAACTGCCAAATGAAGAGGCTACAATCCAACACAACTTCAGGTTTTGCTGACATCACACAGTTTAAGCAGCTCTTTTCTGAGCTAAATTCCGATATTGGGGAGTGGTAATGATACTGCTCAAATGAGAGCAAACATTCCCTGACCAAGATCCCTTTGTAAGAGTCCAAGGCTGGAACATCTGTTGTCCAGGATGAGGAAAAGACAAAGCCTCTACTACTTACTGCCTCAATGCCATACAGAAAGGGATGTGGGATTGAAATGCATATAACTCAAGTGCTAGAGAGACTCAAAGCCACCCTTTGCTTGTATGTGAGAGAAAAATACTCAAGTAACTAAATTCCAGGGTGGTAGGGTCCTGCTTTAACACCTCCATGAAGGCAACTCAAGGATTGTTAATGGTTTCCTAAACATTTCGACAGTAGATGGTCACTGGAATGTAAAATCACTCTTTAAGAACCAGATCTGGTGAGTAAAAGCAGTCTGGAGACAGAAATTGCACGGATGGGAGGGTGGAATGAAGCGCCATGAGAAAAATCCTGTATTTTTAGAATATCCTGCAATGGCATTTTTCTAAACTTCATTAGCTGTGTAAAGCTGGTAAAAACCTGCAGTCTGTCCCCATCCTGCCTTTGAGAACAGATGGACTTACAGGATTCCTGAAAGCAAAGGCTGACATAAACCTTTTCAGAGGCCAACAACCGAGACAGCACAAACGCACCTGAACGAGGAAGAGAATCTCCACGGCGTGCTCTTGCCCTTGGTCATCGAGGTAACTGCCCTGCATCAGGTTTGACAGCAGCACCACGTGGACGAGCAGCGCCGCTGTGATGCTGGCAACGGCTGCGGCCACGGCAGTCAGCGTGAAGAGGTACAGGAAGAAATACCCAGCATTGAAGGCACCGATGCAGTTGTTGACCCACACGCAGTGGTGATCGAAACGATGCACGCAGACGCTGCAGAAACCTGGTGAGGAGCAAGTGACAGGGCTCAGGGAATTGCTTTTGAAGTAATCAGTTTGATTTTTACACAGCTTAGGAGAGTTTTGCATCTGAGAATAAATCTAAGTATCCTGAAAATGATTTAGCTGATAGCTCTTTAAGAAAATACATTAATTTCAACTGCGTATCATAAACTCCCCTCAGTACTAAGAAGAAAGACCTGTATCTCATTTCCTCTTTTATTCACCAAGACTGCAGCTCAAAGACGTTGGTTTCTCTGACAGTACTGCCTAGCAAAGTACATGAAAGGCAGAGATTGCTGCTCCCAGCTTTATTTTACATGGTGACAGCAAATTCTGCAAGAGAAACACAAAATCCTTAACCCAGGTCTTCAGAGGTGGTAATTTTTTCATTTAACTTTTAGATGCTAAAAAGCTTGCCTGTTCCTGACCCAAAATGATACCCAAGGAACCGGTAATTTCTGTGGGAAGAAACAGCAGCAAAACAGTCCCATGGATGGGCCAAGGGCAGCTGTGAGGTGGAACCGCAGTAAAATGAACACATCGAGCTGGGTAACAGAGCAGAGGTAGCGTGAATTGCAGGTACTGATGGTGAATTAATCTAGGACAGTAACACTGTTATGCTTAGCAAGGAAGTTAAGATTCTTACTGCAATGTTTTGATCTGGCTGGCTTCTCCACGTTGCACGTAGGACACACGATGCCCTTCTGAAATAATACACCATCATACGCGTAAACCTGAACCAGTGATGCATGATTTGATTTTGTTATTACACCTACCAAAGAAACGAGAAGGGTTTTGTTACATTTTTTAGGTTCTGTTTTCAAACAGCCGCAGCCACAATCAGCACAAGCGTACCAGGGTTGGCCTGGGAGCAGAGGAGGAAGCAGCCCAAGTTGGCAGCCAGCAGCAGGTAGGGCAGCAGCAGCAGCAGGAGGTGGAACTGCAGCTCCCAGCAGTAAACGAACACTTCCCAGGTGTATTCCCCAAACACCGCAGCCTGCAGGGCGATGTGCAGGACAACAAACAAACGGCTCCTGAAACAGAAAGGGGACAGGCTATTTCATACTCAGCATCCCGATTAACAGGTCAAGTACAAGCAGAGGTGATCAGCAAGACTTTCCAAATGCAAGGAGACACCTCTTTTAGGTTTTCAGGCCAGCATGGAGCGCATATTAATAGTGTTTTCTCCATCCAGTGGCTTCTCCTTCTCTTCTTCCCACATACACATCTTTAAATATGCCAGCTAAATTCACTTCCATTATTGTCACGTCCTTGGGATTTTTTTTTCCAACAGCAGAGTCAAGTGCAAAGCCCCCTTGGTGCTGACAAAACCTGTCTCAGCAATAGGCCACAAAACACTCTGCCAGAGGATGTTCGCTGTGTGCTGCAGAGAAAACCCCAGTAAAAGGTAGTCTTCAAAAAAATCTATAATAATATAAGCAGCTGCTAGGAAATAGCCATGGCAGGAGGTGAGCAACAGCGAACACGAGTCCCAGCCTGTTGGCAGACCCACGGCTTCTGCAAGGCAAGCTGCACAACAGCTCGGCACGCAGGTTTGTTTGGCATGTGTCATACTGAGCAATGGCTTTCAGCAGCCTGGCAAGCAGATGCTCGGATAAGGCATGCATTAACGGAGCCATGTTCACTTACGACAGTTCTCTGCATTGTACAGCAGTTTGCTGGACTTTCATTACCAGTTTTAAAGAGGAATTCTGCAGGAACTGAGAAATCTCGCACTCGAATGAGGTGATGCAGTCGAAGGGGGTGTGTGGAGGATCAAAGCGCCTCCAGTGCACGGCATAATCAAACAAGCACAGATCCACCAGGCTCATCAGGTATTGCTCTGCTGCTGCCTGCACGTTTGAGTGTAACTGCTCTCTCTTGGGCTGTGTTAACCCAACAGCAGGGGATCTGGACAGCAGGCAGCACCACAACTGCAGCAGGCGTTCAGCAGCTGTAGATGTTACGCCCCTGAAGCATCTGTCAGAGTGCAGCTGCTGCCCCCAGAGGAAAGGTATTTAAATCGTTCCTGGAGCAGATCCTAAAGCACCGAAGTTCACAGGAAATAAAATTCACCTTCATACAGCAGGCTGCACATTGGCAGCTGTGCAGCTTCCCCCTGAGCCACCTGGACACCCAAGCTGTTGGACTACGACTAATGGGATTTGAGGGCGAGGATGGGGATCGCTGCCTCTGCCCTCAACTCGTTCTGCAGCTGCCAGGGAGTCTGTTGTGATTCTCTCGTGGCTGCAGCCTCCCACCAGCACGACCAACATCTGTTACACTGGAAGCTACTGAGCCACATTATCATTATCTGTCAGTATGTTCAAATATTTCAGGGTGCTGTTTCCTCATCAATAAGCAAGGAACAGAAAGACAACAGTGTGACAGACCTTAAAGGGAATCTGTAATCCCTGACAAGCACCACTAATGAAGAGAGAACGTCTAAGGATAATACTGAGAGCTCTGATGGTGGCAGGAGGTCACCAACAGTGGCCAGAAGTACTAGTGAGAAATAATACCAAGAGCATAAAGCAGAAGTGCAATACCTTGTGTGGAACAGCCTGTGAAGCGCCCCGTGTGTCACCCTCCGGAGCTGTGTGGGGATTACACATGACAACACCTGAAGCAAAGGAAAACATTGTTATCCGAATCGCACAGCGCTTCTGCCTTGGGGAACGTTCAAACAAAAACATAAGTCACCTCATCCCTCAGGTGTACATCACTGCAGCCATATCACTGGGGAGGTACAGCTCATTTTCAGAGGCATTTGAGCTCTAAGAAGGGACATTGCTGCGGTTTTTAAAAATGGGACTGAGGTTCCGTATTCTTGGAAGTCCAGCAGGCACAAACAAATGTATCTGGGTTAATGTGTGAAAGTTTTAAGGAGCTTATATCGGGTTATAGACTGGGTAACTGGTTAAGCAGGGGATAGAACGGAGCAATTTCTGAACTACAATATGCTCCACCAGGACATCTGACAGATGCAAGTGGGGATAAGCAAAGGGATCAAGCCTGCTATCCTGCAGAAAAAGGAAAAAAAAACCCAAACCAACTAAAAACCTAACAAGCAAACTCCACCAAAACCACTTCTGCCCCAATTTCTTCAATTACAGCTACGACCCAGCCCGCTAACTCCATGTCTGTCTAATCGTCGTTTCAAAACCAGCTGGACACGCTGAAGAAAACCGCCTGTCTTCATTCAGCAAAGTCCTGTGACTGCAGGACTGCGTGACTCCGGTGTGCAGCAGATGACAGATCTCTATAGCAACGCGCTGCTCCATCAGCGCTGGAGGAATTAGAGCAGCCGAGCTTATTTCTAACCGACACAGAAAGAAAATATGCAGTGAGAGCTGCCTGCCTCAGATGTGAAAGACCAGAAGGCAAAAAGCATATGCGGAGCTGAGAAGACGCTAAATACTTTTTAACTTGTACGCCTCGTGTCAGCAGTGCGAGTGACGAGTCTTCTTTTGACAGAGGCTGTGTGCCGCAAGAGGAAACACAACACCAGACAGCAAAGCAACCTGCATGCGACTGCAGAACTCAAATCTGAATTAACTGTGTGTTTCCCCCCTGTGCAGTACGGCAATCCCCTGCATTTCAGCCGTTCCTTATGCCAAAGCAAAAGGCTCTCATGATTTGCAGCGATGAGGAAAGGCGGAGGGAAGGAGGAGACCCGTGCGATGCACACAGCACAGCTGCACCGCCCGTGGCAAGGAAAACAGGCAGGGGTGGGAGCTGGCTTGGCCCAGAGCGACAAACAGCTGGGCTCCCTGCAAGTGAATGACTCCACAGTGCCTGCAATGCTTCAAAGGATCTTACAGGAGTGCGGTCAAGCAGTTTCAACAAACTTTCAGCCTTACATGTTTCATTCATTACAGTTGGAAATGAATTGAAAAGACAGTGTCCAGAGAAGCTATTTAGGATCACCTGTACTTATTTCATGCGCGCAGGCATTGATTACGTTTCTCCAGACAGTGACCATTCATCACAGCAGTATTTTAATGGATGATTGTTAGAACAGATACTAAGAAACGTGGGAAAATAACAAATTTGCCTGTCTAGAAAGCAAAATAAAGTAAAATACTATAAATAAAAAGCAAAGTCTGTTTAGACTCATGCAAACATTAAATATTTACAGTTTACATGATAATTCTTATCCTTTCTCTTCCAAGAACGCTACCCCTTTTGTTTTTCCTTCTTCATTCAGACACAGCCCACCAGACAGAAAAATAAGCTACTGCCTTTTCAATCCATTCCCTGTTTTTACAATAAAATGCCAATTCTTAATCCTCTTTTAAATCTCTTCATTCCTCCCTCTTTCTTAGGGAACAACAGCCTGCAGCATTATTAGACTCACATTAAAGAGCTTCCCCTAAAATATGAGCTATGAGTTGTAATTCTCTCCCTATTTTAATTCTCTCCCTGTTTTAATTCTCAAACCTCCCCTCACCTTTTTCCTCTGAGTGACCACGGCAAATACCATAGAAGTGCAAATACCTGGGGCCTCATCATTATTTGATTTCTCCAAGCTGACGTGTTATGGTGTCACTGAACAGGGTACTTCCAGAAGCTCCATCCCGACTGCTCCCCCACAGCGGCCGCCCAGCCCAGCCCAGCGCTCACAGGACCAGGAGATGCAGCGTGCATAGTGTGAAATATGGAATACACCGTATCACCGCTCTAACCACATGGACTGCTTTTATGGAGGAGGAATACAGTGATTTCAGGATGATGAACTAGGGCAGAGGCTCAGCAGGAGCTGAGCATGGCTCTGGGAGGTCACTTCTTTACCTGGCTTGCACCGCTGACCCTTCTGGCGAGGAAACTCTCCTTCCTTCCCGAGCAGATGCAGAGCAGAGCGACAGCAGCGAGGACAAAACACAAATAAATCAAGAGCAGCGTCAGAAAGTCCATCCTGAGCCCTGCAACGACACACGGGCAGCATCAGAGCCCCTCGGTGCCGGTTTTGCAGCGCCCAGGCCTGGCCCT